TGGCTGGGAATTCGAGATTCTGCCACTGACATCTCTGTGCCTTAGTTTCGTCTCCTACAAAATGAGGAGTTGATCTAGAATTAATCCTTTGGATTCCTTCCAGCTTCCTAGAGGATGCATGTAAATGAAATAGAGGAAGTGGAAGAAAGATATCAGGGCTTAAAAAGTCAGTGAGTGCTCAAGGTATTGGGTCATTAGTCTGGCTTTGATGTAAAAGAGGAAAATGGGACAATGATTGACATTTTTAAGATTAAAGAAAACTGTGCCTTTTAAGAAATTACTTAGGTGGGATAATTAATACAGTCTTATCTAGAATGGAGGCTGTCTCCAAATTAACCCAAGAAATCTAAACTAAAATGTATAAGAATCAAAGTCAAGTAGCCCTTTATTTGTCAGAGAGATAAACTTCAGTTTGTGTGGTGTGACGTGAAGGTGTTATGAAAGTCCAGCTGCCCCAAAAATATCTTTCTGATCCTCTTAAAACGTTGCCTGGATTTCCACCATTAAAATAAATCCCTTTGAATGTGGTTTGTCTTGTAAAATGCACATTTATTTCACATTCAGCTGTTGTCATGCTTTCTGGTGAATTAGTGAAGCAGGCTGACAACTAGCTAAGGACAACCAACCGAGGAGACAAAGCTTTGGAGGAGGAGGTGGAAGGGATCCTTTTGATATATGTGGCATTGCTCACATCGGTCAGTTCAACGATGTGTGGGCTCCTGTTGTGCCCAGGTCCCACCCAGTTCCAGAGGTGAAAAGGTTAGTAGATGGTCGTTCATTGCCTCAAGATTCTTACAGTCCAGAGAGTGGGCTGCATGAAGGTCACGGAGCTGGGGAGTTTTGAAAAGTGGGACCAGAGACTCAGAAAGGAAAGGTGGAGGGACAAAGAAGATTCTGTACCATCACAATCTCATTGAAGGATTGGACACTTGATTCAAGGAAGGCTTTTTCTTGATCTCAGTGAGTTCCCCTAAGGAACCACCAAAATTTAAACTGGCAGGTTTGATACTCCATTGGCTGCAGAATGACAGATCATTCCAACTCCTTTAATTCAATGATTTTTTTGGCCCTTTGAAATTTAAATTAGTAAAATTTGACTATATCAGAACTTGTCAGCTATATTGTTGACTATGAAACACACATCCATTGCTATTTTTCATGTTCCTCTCCTCTTGTGGAACTTCACATATGCAGGACTGACCGCACAGTGGGATTGCTGAGGCTGGTGGAAATGTAGAGGGATGGGAGCTAGAAGGATAACTGAGCACTTCTTTAAACAGCAGACCAGAGGAGCACCACAGTCTCATAGATGGCATTCAACAAGCACCCTGAGACATAACTTCTAGTAATGGAGAGGATATTCAACTACGGCTTAAAAGATTTGGGGGACCAGTTCTGGCTCTGGTGTTTGCTAGCTGAATAACTATAGGAAAACGTTACAACACTCACCTATATTTATTGAAGACAGACTATATGACAGGTACTGTGCTATGTGTTTTACTTGTAAAAACATTTAATTCTTACAACAAGCCACTGAGGTAGGTTCTATCATGTTTCCTGTTTTATACGTGAGGAAACTTAAAACACAGATAACTTCAAGATCACATTACCTAACATTTGTCAAAGCAGGGATTTGAATACAGGCAGTCAAACTCTAACGCCCGTGGTTAACTACTATGATACTCTAGTTACCTAAGTCTTTGAGGCCTCAGTTCCCTTAAAAATGGACATGTTGGGTCAGACAATGTCTAGATTTCTTTCTGGCTTTACAATGTTATGATATGAATTATACCTGTACTTAATATACTTAGGGTTAATCTCTGTTTCTGAGTGGTCTGTCTTAGAGAACTGAGCTCCAAAGACAAATGTCTGAAATCTGGTCTTATTTCCTAGCCATCTCTTGTGTTTCATTAGAGTTGGACCATATTATTTGCTGCTCCACCAAGAATGTCATTCCTCAATCTCCATCTACTGAAATTCTATCCAGCCTTCAAAAACCAACTGAAATGCCACCTCTTTCAAGTAGCCATTCTCAATCTTTGGAGATTTAGACTGGAGGTGTATTAGACTGTTGGGGGTTGGGATCTAGGAAAAATATCTGTGTTAATGAAAAGAAAAGATGTAGGATAAGGAGAAGAAAGGGTGGAGGGAAACACTTGGAGATGAGGAAGGTTAAGAGGACCATCAGTAGTGTCGTTGGTGACCCACACCAGCAAACCTTTTCCTGAGATGCACAATCATGAAGCCACCAAAAGTGCTATTCAATGATGCCTAGCTACTAGGTGTGAGGTGAGGATTAAAATGAGATAACATAGGTGAAATAGTGTCTAGAGAGGCAAAAGTGTAATAGTTCCAAATTCCGTTACCTGCATAGGAACTTGGTCATCTCCTTCATGCTAAAGAAGGCTGCCCTCCTGCCCAGGAAGGAGTAGGACAAGCAGAGGTGGGATGGGACTCAGTGGGGAAAAAAGAGGTCAGGAGGAGGTATATGGGAACACAAGGAGAAAAATGAGAGCCAGAGATAGAGAAGTAAGAGAGAAAAAGTAAACATACAGGAGTCATGGGAGAGAATAGGATGGAAGGAGAAGTGGAAGCAAAAGGGCAAAGAAAAAGAAAGAGGAAGGGACTTCTGGGGCTTGGAAAGAAAAAGTTTGTGCTGCCCTGGCAAAACCCAACCCCCAGAGGAAGAGTCCTGGAGGTAAGCAAGTGAAGCACCCAAGTCCAGAGCGCTCTCAGATTCCTTCTCCTTTCTCTGTTCTCATCTGTTATTGGAGGGGTTCTGACCCCTGCCCTCTGCTGCTTTCTATCACTGGGTGATCCTGGCAAGTGAGAGGAAGGAAGGAGCCAGGGGATTCCTTCCACTCTCTCTGCTTTGGGAGGCATCTCCAGCAGTAATTGCACTTCCTTCATGGCTCCAGCTCCCACTGGACAAGGCTTCATGGTTCTGGCAGCCTCCTCCCTTTGTCCCTCCAGCCCTAGGGGAGGAGATGTACCCAGCAGTTGCTAATCTCAGGGTTGCCTCACTTTCTCCTGGTTGTAATTCTAGTTCTTTCAACAGCTTTGTAACTAATGCACTGCATTAACTTATCACTATTGAAGTACCTGGAAAAGAAAACTTGACTTTCAGTTGTATTCACCCTTGGAGTTCAAAGACAGCTCTCTCAGGGAAAGCCATGCATTTCGTGAGAGAAAGAAATCCAGCCAACCCAAGAGTTACGAAGGGTCAGGGGCCACTTCTCCAGTGTTTGATTAGAGAGTGATGAATCCACAGTGGCTGCCAGAGTTGAGGAACTCTAGCCAGGGAATTATCTGTAAAATGACTGGGTTTGTGGCCATTCGTGTCCATTCCTTCATGACTTACTGTACTCACTTTGATCACCTTGAGCCTCAGTATAAGGAACATCTCAGTTTTATTCCTCCAAGGGTTAAGTGCCCACGATGAGTATAGAGGGTACGTAGCTAGGTGTGGTGAGGCGGAGACACAGACATATTGGGAGGACATTCTCAGTTTTTGGAAGTGTTTGCGTTTTGCAAGATAAGGTTTGTGGATGGTCTATCAAGAGACCCTTTTGATACTCTCGTTTTTGCAGTTCCAGCAGAGCTGCAGACACTCAATTTTATTCTTCAGGCGTTCATCTCTCCCATCCTCAGAGCCCTGTTAAAACCAGGTTCCTGTTCTTAGGAATTCACAGCCTAGTGGGGACACAGAGTGGGCACACGACTGACCCTCAGGCCAGGCTGATGGCAGCCACAAGGGAGGATTCTGCACAGGGTTCGGGGAGGCTGCACAGAGATGGTGGACAAGTTGAGTCTATTAAAGTTTGACAGGTCGAGGGGGCTACGGGTCTTCTGGCAGAGAACAGAACAGGATCAAAATCAATTGCGAAAGAACAGGGGCATCTGAGGTGTTGTCTGTAGACAAGGGTTTTGGGGGTGAGGGTTGGTCACTGGAAAAGAGGCTGAAAGGTGGAGGCCCAGCTATGGAAGACTCTGAGACTAAGGAATTGGGGTTTGAGGCAACGGGAGTCATCGGAGGATCTTGAGCATCATGTGGCAAGGTCAATTCTGGGATGGCAACTTTGAATTCTGCGCGGAGGACGGATTTACACGCAGAGAAGCTGGAGACAGGCGAAGGAACTGCGAGGTCTCAGAGATGGCTCATACATGGGAAGCCTCAGCTTGACCATCACCAAAGGGGCATGTTAACCTCAACTGAGCGGCTTTTCTCTCCACCAAGGGCAAGCGTCCTCCGTCTCTGTGTGTGTGTGTGTGTGTGTGTGTGTGTGTGTGTTGGCGGGGTTGGGGGGGAGGGGGAG